CAAAAGGAAGTCTAGTGGATTTTGACATTTGACAAGTTTTACACTCAAGTGTGGTTTTACAAAAAATTGGAAATAACTTGGTCATCACTGGTTCTAAGAGATGGGCAAGACGTTCGCGCCAAAATTGGTATTCCTGAGGATGACTTAAGTTGACACTGGGATCTTTGACAAAATTAGACTCCTTTAAGAGATAGTAGAGTCCATTTAAGAAGAACTCTCACCAATCTTCTTCTGAGTAACTCGATCTTGAAACACAACATTGTGAGGGGAGAATATGGCAAGACAGTCTAAAGTGTTTGTGATTTTTCCTATGGATAAAAGCTGAAATGGAAAGGAAGGTATGTAGAAAGCAGTGAACTCAACATAATCACTCATCAATCTAATTCTCCCTTTTCCTGGAATAGGTTCCCTTTTCCCATTTGCTACTGACACATGAGTTGGATTGATCAATTTTTGAAACTTATGTAGACTCGAAGGTTTATTAGTTATATGATCAGTGACACCTGAGTCGATAATCCAAAAATCATAAGTAAGATTTGCATTGATAGTAGTGGAAATGGCACTGATAATACTTGGAATATTGTCTTATGATGTGTTCTCTAAGCCTACCAAGAAACCAGCAAATTTCCCTAGCATCGTAGTTCGATTTTCTGTGATTGCCTCCTCATTCTCAGTGCTTCCCCTTTTTTTTTTTTTTTTTGAAGAAAAGCAGCAAACTTGTTGATCAGGGAATTAGGATTTGATGAGAAATTTGCCATCCCATCAACTGAAAAATCAGTTATATGAAAGGCTTTTGGAGCAAACCCTTTCCCATCTTTGATCGTCATGTCTTCTATGTCAAACTTAGGGTTTAACTCATGATGTAAAATCCAACATTTTCCCCCTTTCATGTTGCAATATGTACATTTCCAGTCATATTTCTTCCCAAAAAATCTTTCACCAGTTGTTTTATGGTTGGACGTGGAAACCTTAGCTTTAAAGCTAGACTTGGGCTCAACGTGCATCATTTTTCTTTGAGTTTCTCTCTTTGGATTGTATAAAACACACTGATAAAAGATTGTAGCTCTGGTGTCATTAGCAAATGATTGCAAAGATCTTCATACTCAGCTCCCAAGCTTACCAAGAGTTGAAACACTTTATCTTCATTAACCATCTTTAAGAGCACAACAAAGTTAGTTGTGTGTGGATGGTACATATCAAGCTTATTCCACATGGATTTCATGTTTCCAAGATGTTGAATGAAGGATACCTTGCTTCAAACTAGCAATACTCTTCTTTAGTTGAAAGATACGAGGCGCATTGTTTTGGTTGCCAAACATTTCCTTGACAAATTCCCATAGAAGATGGGAAGATTCTGAGTAGCTGAAGAGCTCAAACAATTTGGGCTCCATGGAGTTGAGTATCTGGGACATGACAAGTTGATTAGTGGAATGCCATGCATCATAAGTTGGTGAAGAGGATTCTGGAGGCATAATGCTTCCATCGACGTACCCTAGCTTCGACCTTCCTCCTAAGGCAAGTGAGACAACTCATGGCCAAGAGAGATAATTGAACTCATTCAACAATACTAAGCATAATCGTTGTTTGGATTGGCCTCACCATGAGTTATGCTAGGATATGAGGTTGAGGAGCTTGTAGCCATAGAGCCAAAATGATTATCTTTTGCCATCTTAACCGATGATAAACAAAAGAGAACATTGAACTAAAAAAAAGGTAGAGACATGAGCCTATGGTTCCTGATCTGATACCATGTTAACTTTTAGCTTCAATGGTTTTGTATATTTCATAATAAGAGACTTTACAAGAGAAAAGTGGACTACAAGAATAGTAGGCTAGCCACCACTACAAAATCCCATGAATTAAGCCCTAACAATTGGGCAAAACTAATTATTATTTACAAGAAAAATAGATACCAGAAATAAGGGAAAAAGATTGACAAAGTGATAAGAATGAATGACAAGGTATGGGATGACAAGAAGGTAAGATTGTAGTCCTATAGATATCACTTTATCTTATGACTTAGCTAAAGTGATGATTACAACCTATCCTTGAGATCTATTCCAATAATCGGTTCAATATGTGGAGTCTGGAGTAGCGATCGCTGTTCCTACATGCTCCATTTTGAAGTAAAAGGGACAATTCACTCAGTCCTTCTTCGCCCCAAATATCGAAGCCAAAGGCTCCGCCATGAGTGTCTTCGGTTCTGTGGTGTTTGTGAATCAATGGGGGAAGGGAGGAAGCTTGAGATGGTGGGCGAAGACGGAGGGTGTGTCTATAAATATTAAGGGAATGAGAGATAATACGACGTCGTTTTCAATTATGGTTCTTGTTCTTTTAGAGAGTTCGTTTGGACAGTTGGACATGTTTATGTTAAATTGGGTTCACGTGCCCATCAATTACACCCAGCTTGTTAATGTATATTTTGTACAAGGGAAATTTTCTTTTGCACATTTTCTTACGAATGAATGAATGGTTGAGATTTAACTAAAAAATGGTTAATAGTTAAATCTCAATCTATCACACATGAAAAAAATGTGCAGGGTGGGAAATTTTTTTTTTTTTTTTTTGTCATATTACTTGACTAAGAAAATGGGGTTCAAACAAATTTCGAGTTGGAAAGTTCTAAAATATTTAGGTTGATTCAAATTCGACGTTCGAAAAGAGTTGGGCAAATTTTTGTAAAAGGGTTTTATGATTGAAGATCATATTAACACATTTTATGCAGAGAACTATGTGTTCTTTTTTAGATAGAACCTTGAAGAAATATATGCCAACGATCCACTAGTTTCCTGCTTGCAGACTAAGGAATTCCTGTAAAGTTAAAATGTACAAGTGGAGGTGCATGACTTTTGAAATTCCCAAAAGATAACTCGAGATTTTTCAGTGTTTCCAAGGCACAACATAATGCAAGTGGTGAAGAGATGTTTTTTTTTTTCAAGTGTTCTTTCACTTATATCTCTGCCCTCCAAATTGCCCCCCCTCATCTCTCACTTTTTTTTTTCTCTCTCTCTCTATAAAGAAGTCAACGCAAGATATTGACATGCCTTAATCGGAATCGTCCAAATTTCCCCCCCTCATCTCTCACTAGTTGCATTTTACCCTCTTTTGTGTTAGTGTGCAGCTAATCGTATTTTGGAGCTCAGTTGAGGACAAATAAGGCAAAATGGTGCTAAAAATGGAGAATTGAATAAGGATGCTGATGTAGACAAAGAATTAAAAGTGGAAACTGAATATGGTGATGAATATGGCTCTTTATAAGACCAATAACAACAAAAAAATGTGGGAATTAAATGCCCAATTACTGGGATGTATTGGTAATCTGTAACAGCTCTTTAACATTATAAAACCTATCCTTTCAGCCACTTTTACATACACCTTTTATTTTGAGCGAATTTCACAACTCCAGTCACTATTTTTATCTCTTTTCATCCACACTCAAATCTCCACCCATTCTATACTCTCCAACATCATCGAAGACTCATCTTGACAGGTTGTTCTTGGAGAAGTTCAACATCAGAATTGCTTCAACGGTTTCCTCTCTCTTTGATTTATTGTCACTCATGTTGTGTATTTCTAATTTGATCTCTATGAACATGATGTGTAACTAAATTCATAGCTGGGGATTTCGATGTAGCCTTGCACAATTGATCCATGTTTTTATGTTAAAATATTCAATTCATCAATCTGTCTCTTGTTTCATTCACTAAATCTTTTGTTAAATTTGTTTGTTAATTTTAATGATTGATCACCATTAGGATTTCTTACAGATCATTTGATCAAGATTATAGTCAACATCATGCTTAAGGTAGACATGTGAATGAATGAAGAGAATGCTATGCAAACATCCTGCCATGTATTTTCTTTGGTTCCTTAACGTTTTCTTGCATGCTAAAGACTCTTAATTTGGAACTGAAGTTGAACATCCCAATTAGGTTGTAGTGTAAGAGAATTTGATCAAAACTACACATCATATGGCTGATCATATATATGTAAAACGGACTCTAGAAACAGGTTGGTAATTGAATACAGTTTAACTTCATAAACATGGAATTGGTTTTGAAATGGTGAACTCGAAATCCCTGGACCCATCCTCATTGTTTCTCAATCAACCTATCATTCGTTGTTACATTTTTCTTGCATTTTTAGTTATTCTCATTAACAGCACACAATCTACATTTAATTTGTTATTTTCATTGTTTAGTTAGGGTTCTTTCAAGGCTAGTAATTTATAGAGGTCTAATCAGTCCCTATGATTAAACACCCTTACTTGTGCCATTATACTAACCATATATTGCACTCGGAAGGAACACAACAAAATTATGGTGCTGTTGCCGGGGACTGATTTCAGCCCTCTATAATTGTTTGTTCTTCAAACCCTATTTATTTTCATTTTCAGTTTAGATTTCTAAATTTCATTTGTTTTCTTTCTATTTCTTAGGTAGTATACGTCCGACAAACTTGCTGAGATAGGCCAAAGACTTGAATGTATAAAGAGCAACAATTTTGAGAACTTTCTATCAACTAGTGCTCAAATTAACCGTGAAGAAGAGGACGATCAATCTTTTGGATCAGCGAGTGTAGATGCTTATTTTGAGCACTCTAATTCAGACGGAGAAGAAGAGATGGCTGACAATAATGATGACAATCGAGCTTTGGAGGATTATGCTTAACCGATTATAACAAATTCACCTTCATGCATCTTGCTGCCTCCTGAAGCTAGAAACTATGATCTCAAATCTTCACATTTTCACATGCTTCCTTCCTTTTATGGTTTACCTAATGAAGATCCGTTAGCCCATATTAAAGAATTTTATAATGTTGTGAGTGGTTTACCTTTGCAGGGAGTGAATGAAGCAAATCTGAGGATGAACGTCTTTTTGTACACATTGAAAGATAAGGCTAAGGGTTGGCTAATGACTTTAGCACCTGGTTCGCTCACCACTTGGGATGCTGTAGCTAAGAAATTTTTGGAAAAAAATTTCTCTACTCAAAAGATAGCTACTTTGAGAGGGCAAAGCTTCAACTTTGCACAACATGATGGAGAACCTTTCAATGAATGGTGGGAGCGCTTCAAAGGCCTTTTGCTGCAATGTCCACATCATGGGTTACCTCCTTACTTACAAATGCAAATTTTTTATGATGGATTAACCCAAACATGTCAATCTACTGTTGACAATGCAACAGGTGGAGCTTTGAAGAAAAAGAATGCTCAAGAGTCATATAACATCTATGAGATGTTGGGATTTAATGCTCAACACAAAGATAGAAGAGGTAAACAAGCTGGAGTGTATGAAATGAGTTCTAAAATGATCTTGCATTGCAAGTGGCTAGTTTGGAAAAGAAGCTTGATTTTGTACTCAATATGGTGCCCTCGATAGCTGAAGTGTGTGCCATTTGCAACATACCAGGTCATCCTACTTATCAATGCTCAGCTAGTGAGGCTTATCCCAAATTCGTCCAAGAGCAAGTGAATCTCATGAACTCTTACAATCAAAGGCCAAGGAATGACGCATACTCTAATACATATTACCCTAGTTAGAGAGATCATCCCAACCTCTCATGGAAGAATAACAATTAGTTTCAAAATTTCCAACCAAAGCTTGCCACTACACTTGAAGATACGATCAAATTGCTAGCCCAAAACACCGTTCAATTCAAGCAAACTACCAATAGTCATTTCCAACAACATTCGGCTGCTTTAAGTCAAAGAGAGGCCGAAAAGTTTTCGAGCCAACCAGTGATACTTCAAAGGAACCAAGGGCAGGCCAAAGCAATTACTACACTTAGAAGTGGTAAGGTTATTAATAATGGAGTTGGCAATGAAGTTATTAATGAATCTAATCATGTGAATGCAGGTGCCACTTAAGAAGATAATGAGAAACCAAATGACGAACCAAGCAATGTCACTTCTTCATTTGAATCACCAAATCTTCACAAGGCTGAAAAACCTTACACACCTCCCATCCTATTTCCTAGAAGACTTGCCAAAAGCAAGCAAGATAAGTCATTTAAAGAAATTTTTGATATTTTAAGTAAAGTGAATGTTAATTTACCTTTGCTTGATGTCATTAGGAATATGCCAGCGTATGGGAAATTCTTCAAGGAGCTGAACAACTATAAGAGAAAATATTGACCTAATGAGAAGGTGATGGTGCCTGAAAATGTGAGTGCTGTGCTTCAAAGAAAGCTCCCACCAAAACTTAAGGATTCGAGAAGTTTTTCTATCAATATCACCATTTGAGACAAGCTAGTAAAAAAGACTATGCTCGATTTGGGTGCTAACATCAATTTAATGCCCTATTCAGTATATATTCAATTAGGTTTGGGGGATTTGAAGGCAACAACTATTTCATTGCAACTTGCTGATCGATCATTGAAATATCCAAGAGGTATAGTGGAAGATATCTTAGTTCAAGTTAACAAACTAATTTTGCCTGCTGATTTTGTAGTGTTGGATATGGAAGAAGGTCCTATACATGATTGTGAGTTACCTATTTTGCTTGGGAGACCCTTTATGGCCACTGCAAAGACTATCATAGACGTGCAAAATGGTCTTCTCACCATGACCGTGCTAGGAGAAACTGTACAATTCAAAGTGTTTGAATCTCTTTCTCACCCTTCTTGTTCACTTGATTGTTGTTCGGTTGATGTGTTTGATTCACTTGTTTTCTCTAAGTTTTTTTTAGACATAATCTAATGATCCATTACAATTTGTTTTGAGTCAATCTCAAGATGATTTTGACGAAGAATATGCATTCATGGAAGTGGTGGCTGCCTTGGAAACATTAAAACCATATCCATCCACCATTTCACCTTTTATAAAGTCATTACAACCATTTGCCACACATCTGATACCTTCCATTGTTAAACCTCCAAAACTTGAGCTTAAACCACTTCCACCACATCTAAAGTATGCTTACCTAGCTAAACTTGAAACTCTTCCAGTTATCATAGTATCTGACCTCAACCCAATCGAAGAAGATAAGCTAATTAGGGTGTTAAAAGAGTTCAAATCAGCCATTGGTTGGTCTATTGCAGATATCAAGGGAATAAGCCCTACCATGTGCATGCATCGGATTTTATTGGAGGAGGGAGTGAAAACAACCCATGAACCATAACGAAGGCTTAATCCACACCTGAAAGAAGTAATGAGAGCTGAAATGTTGAAGTTGCTAGATGTGGGTATAATATACCCAATGTCTGATAGCAAATGGGTCAGTGCTGTTCAAGTAATGCCTAAGAAGATTGGAATCATGATGGTAAAAAATGAGAACAAAGAGCTTGTACAAACAAGATCTACAGCTAGTTGGCGTGTTTGCACTGATTATAGGAAGTTGAATTCGAACACTAGAAAAGATTATTTTCCTATGCCTTTTATTGATCAAATGCTTGAGCGATTAGCTGGTTACTCAGATTATTGTTTTCTTGATGGATATTCAGTTTATAATCAAATTGCAATAGCTCCGGAAGATCAAGAGAAGACTACATTCATCTGCCCATTTGGCACTTTTGCATACAGGAGGATGCCCTTTGGCATTTGCAATGCCCCAACAACTTTCCAAAGATGTATGTTAGCGATCTTTTTGGATATGGTTGAGAGATTTATTGAGGTATTTATGGATGATCTTTTAGTTTTTGGTTATTCTTTTGATGATTGCCTTAACCAGCTCTCTCTAGTGCTTCAAAGATGTCTGGAAACAAATTTGGTTCTTAATTGGGAAAAGTGTCAATTCATAGTGAAACAAGGTGTTGTGTTGGGTCATGTAATATCTAGCAAGGGAATTGAAGTTGACAAAGCAAAAATTGACATCTCAAATATGGCATCCCCTACTTCAGTGAGGGGAGTCAGAAGCTTTCTAGGACATGCTGGTTTTTATCGTCGTTTCATTAGAGATTTTTCCAAGATCACTCATCCATTGTGCAATCTTTTGGCTAAAGATGTTGTATTTGACTTTGATAAAGATTGTATGAATGCGTTTAATACCTTGAAACATGAACTAACCTCTGCTCCTATTATTATGGCACTATATTGGTCTTTACCTTTTGAATTAATGTGTGATGCTTCTAACTACGCTATTGATGCTGTTTTAGGTCAAAGAGTGAATAAACTCCTATAAGTGATTTACTATGCAAGCCGGAAATTAAACAATGCTTAACTCAATTACTCCACAATCGAAAAAAAGTTGCTTGCTGTTGTTTTTGCTTTAAAGAAATTTCGTTCATATCTTGTTGGCTCTAAAGTAATTATTTACTCTGACCATGTAGCTCTTAGGCATTTGTTGATAAAGAAGGATGCCAAACCATGCTTGATTAGATGGGTACTCTTGTTACAAGAGTTTGACCTGGAAATTTGAGACAAGAAGGGGAGTGAAAATGTTGTTACTGACCTCTTGTCCCGCATTGTTGATGAAAACCATAGAGATGGACAAATTTTGCCTCTCAATGAATCATTCCTGGATGAAAAACTGTTTGTCATTCAAGAAAAAGAGCCATGGTATGCTGATTTTGTTAATTATCTTACTTGCGGTGTAATTAGAGATGATTTCACTTTTTAGGAGAAAAAGAAGTTCCTTTCAATGGTGAAACACTATGTTTGGGATGAGCTATATTTGTTCAACTATTGCCTTGACCAAATCATCTGAAGATGTGTCCCGAAGAGTGAGAAGCAAAGCATATTAACATTCAGTCATGCATTGGCATGTGGAGGACATTTCGGTGCCAAAAAGACAACTTTAAAGGTTTTAAAATTTGGTTTCTTTTGGCCTACATTATTTAAAGATGCTTTTGATTTTTGTTCTAAGTGTGATACGTGCCACTAAACGAACTAATGGCAGTAGCGGCAGTAGTGGTACCAAATGGGTCAAAGCAGCAGCTAAACGAACTAATGATCACAATGTTGTTTTGAATTTTCCTAAGGATCTGATTTTTTGTAGGTTTGGAACTCCGAGAGCTATCATTAGCGATGGTGGCAGCCACTTCTGCAACAAACCCTTCGAGGCATTGATGAAGAAGTACAACATCACACATAAGGTGGCAACTCCATATTATTCACAAACCTTGGGCCAAGTGGAGATCAGTAATAGGGAAACAAAAAACATTTTGATGAAGACCGTTAGCCCCACAAGGAAGGATTGGTCACTTAGGTTGAATGATGCACTTTGGGCTTATCGAACAGCATACAAGACCCCAATTGGAATGAGCCCTTATCGACTTGGGTTTAGAAAAGGCATGTCATTTGCTAATGGAGCTCGAGCACCGTGCATATTGGGCCATAAAAATGTTCATTTTGATCTCAAGGAAGCTGGTGTAGCAAGGAAGCTCCAACTTAATGAGTTGGAAGAGCTCAGAAATGAAGCATATGAGAATGCTAAGATCTACAAAGAACGAACCAAGCTCTATCATGACAAAGCAATTCTCCGGAAAGAGTTCTAATATGGAAGTGCTTTTGTAAGACTCACGTTTGTGACTTTTTCCAGGTAAATTGAAGTCTAGATGGGTTGGACCCTTCAAAGTGCTTCAAATATTTCCCCATGGAGCTGTGGAGATAGAGAACATCAAGAATGACACCTATTTTAAGGTCAATGGGTAGCGTTTGAAGCCTTATTTGGAGAATGTTGCAGAAGAGCAGACCTATCAAGTTGTAAATTCTCTCAAGTTTACGACAACTTAGACACGCTGTCATGTCTTGCCTAGACATTAAATTAAGCGCTTGCTAGGAGGCAACCTAGCTGGGTTTGTGTTCTTTCATTTTATTTGTGTGTTCTTTGTTTTTGTTTTATTCCATGTGCACTTTACCTATTCGCATTGCATGCATTCCATTCATTTTTAAGCATCGAGGACAATGCTTAGTTTAGGTTTGGGGGTGTTGGAAATTGAAAATTTACTTTTGCTTTTCAATTTTGGTTAAAGTATGCTTTTGCTTACTAATATGAATGTATATGATGGCTGTGTATACAATCTGACTATGATGTTGTCATGAAAAGTTCCATATCATAATTTTTATAGTTCACAAAGTTATTACTCTTGAATTATGGTGATTAAAGTGTCAAACTCAAATTATTGAAGAAGAATAATGGAGACTACCCTAGTGAGTTATTTTGAGCCTAT